GGATACCAGTGAGCAAAATCACAGTAGAGGGAATAGAGAGAAAAAGAAATTGCCACGCTGGATTCTGTTATGGGGAAGCCTGAGTGAACAGAGGAGTGGACTGCAGACAAGAAGGGAGAAAGGGAATGGAGAATGGATGGCAGTTCTGTCCTAGAATGGTGAGATCATCCTGGGATTAGGTGCCGGTGGCTCACACTTGTAATCCTAGCTAATCAGGAGGCAGAGATCAGGAGGATTGCAATTCGAAGCCAGGCCAGACAAATACTTCACAAAACCCCATCTCAAAAAAAACCATCACAAAGAAGGGTTGGGGAAGTGGCTTAAGGTGTAAGCCCTGTGTTTAAGCCCCAGTACTGCAAAATATAATAAAATAAAATTAAATTAAACCAGCTACTCTCTCATCACGATTACAAACTCCTCTTGGTTTTAGAACAGAGGCACTTCACAGGGCACAGAAGTACCAAGGCAGTAAGTTCTCCATTCTTCACCATGGGAAAAAAAGAGGACTCCTCACATGCAAATTATTATACAAGTAAAGATTAAACTTCCTTTCTGGCACAGAAAGACAGACACTCACACACTCACACGCTATACACTGATCTTGAAAGGAAGAAGAACCCACTGTCATTAAGGTGTAACTTGGCATGTGGACAGTGGAGGCATGAGTGTGGTCGTAGGAGAGAATAGGCACTTTGGTAAGACCCATGCTGGAGAGTTCAGGCAGGGTCCACACAGATTTGGAAGCCAGTAGTGTTGACACATTCAATGACAGGCTATTCTGATGTCAATTCAGACCCCATCTAACTGTGACTTGACTCATGGCCTTAGAAGACCTGGGACACATGGCTGTTGAGGTATGTTGCTTGATGACTCCCTAGTTCTCTAGCCCCCTGTGGCAGGTTTCCTAAAGGTCACAAGTGCATATTCCTACGGTCTTTGTGTTTAGAATGATTGTCATTGCATGCTGTGTCTATGTCCTTGATGTTGAGCTGTGGTATGTTTAAGGAAGTGCAACAGCATTTAATGTGCTTAATTTTATAATGACCCTAAGCTACTCTTTGGTTTCTGCATAAAACAAAGTCAGTTTTAGAAGTTTTAAAATGTATGTTGAAAATTGATTACACTAACAATAATCTTTTGCATCAAATTTGGAAGATGGGACACTTTGTGATGCTAAATTTAATATTTGGATTACTGGAGTTTGAACTCATGGCTTCATGCCTGCCAGGCAGTTAATGTATGCCCCAGTTCTGATACTGAATTTTAAAATAACTTGTAACTTGTAATCCTTCTGTGTCTGTGAGTACATTTAATAAGTTTAAAAAAGTGATATCCTTTCCTGCACAGTTGATATCATTGCCACTTCTATTACTGGTATTATCTTTCTTTATATTTACTTTGTGTTTTACTTCCTATTATATATAAACAAAACTTTTTACATTGTTATATCTATTGGTTCCACATCCAAATAGCTAATTAATGATTATAGATTGTACAATTTATAGTTTTCAGCAAACAATGATCTTGAGAGTCTGTTTGGAGGTTCTTCCAGGAGAACACAGCTATTCACATAACATTGACTGAAGAATTGTCCTCTCTCAGAGATGGTCATCATCTTTGATCTAGCATGCAGCTTTGTTAGGGACACCCATGGAGTCAAAATGTGAACTTGTGTCAAAGACTATCCTTTGAGAACAAATCCCTGGAGGACACAACTTCACAGTGCCTCCTAGAGAATGGCTTCGCTCAGATTATTGTCCCCAGCCAGCACCAGCCATGGAAGCATTCATGCAGTGATAACTGCAGCTGTGGCTGACCAAGCCCAGGCCCGGCACACCACATGGCAGACACTGGTGCCATCCATTGGATACAAGCATTGAAGGTGTGCACAATGCTAGAGTTATGGGGCCACAAAGGCTTGGACTAAGGTTTCAGAGGAATGATATTGGGGTGGGAGGGCCTTTAATTATCAACTCACTCACTCCTTGCTCTACATTGTCAGGGATGGTGGTAACAAAATTCAATGTTTTGTGTATGGATTTTTCCCAAAAAATATATTTTGAAATATTCCTTTTTGTTGGCATGGCATATCCGTGTGAAATTCAAAATCAAGGACAATAGCCCTTGTATTAGGAGTCCATCACATATTTTGCATTCTAGGCAAACATTCTCATCATTAACACAGATAAAATACTCCCAGGGTTCCAGGCAATATCTGCTTAGCTCTGTATTAGATTCACAACAGGAACCCATGTCCTGGGACATGGAAAGTACTCTTGCTGAGTGCGACCCACAAGACCAATGCAGCTCCCACAGCTGTAACTAGGTCCATTAATAGCAGAGTTGGCAGGGGTTGTGCAGTGCCAGCACCTCCTCAGCTCAGCACATTCTCTGTGCATGTGAGGGCATTGTGGATGGAGCAGATGGAAATTCTCAGGGCTCCTGTGTCCCTGATCTGTTATGATTTCCATGCATCTTACTGCACTCTCATTTCAGTTGATGCAGGGTGAGGCTGCAGAAGTAGTAAGCATTCTCCAGTGTTGACAGCAGAGACAAGACTTGCTACGAAAATGTGACCATACAACTTTTGATATTATTTGACAGAAAATGTTCAAGAGTGTTTTTAGACTGCTAGAAGGGAGAATAAAATGGAGTTCAAAATGTTCATACATAAATCAAAAGTATTTCCAGTATGAAACGAATACTAGGCCATCTGTTTAAGATCAAACATGAGCAATAAGACCAATACTTACATTTGGAGGAGTTTGGCAGCTGAGAGCAGGAGGATCTTGATGCCAAGGAAAAATGCTTGGATGACCCAAAGTCAGCAGAAAATGCGTGTTCATGTTGACAGTGTGTCATCCCAGCAACAGTAAGAAGCTTAAAATTGGAGGATCGTGGTCAGGTAAGATGGAACTAAAAGCAAGTCCCTGTTTCCAAAATCCCCAAACCAAAAAAGGTTGAAATATTGCCTCAAAAGGTAGAATGCTCATCATGCAAGTGCAAAGCTGAGTTAAAACCCCAGGACATCAACAAAACAATACAAAAAGCACGCATTCAAACATCAGCTTACACCATTCTAAACCCCCTTGAGAATTTAGAGAAATGAGGAACTACATGGCGAGATGATGCGACATCCTGATCTCATCTCTCTGTGTGAGTGTGGACATATTAGCATTGACTATTCCCTGAGGAACTGGGACCTCCAGCCCTGAACACTCTGAACCACTCTAATTACTGTTTGTTTGAAAGGAAGAAAACAGGGAAGAAGGCAGCAAACTCCCTGTGATGTGTACATCCACTTCCTGGAGGGAGACAGGTAGAGTTTGCCCTAGATTCCCCAATTCTCCCCTCAAAGACCTTCCCCAGGAAAAGCAGCCCCTAGGCTCAGGCTGAAAGGCCAGTCCTAGTTGATAGGCCCCAGTCTCTTCTCACAGGATCCTTCAGAGAGCACAGAGGTCCTGGGGCTGCTCCTCTGCCTGCTGGTAGCTCCAGGGCATGAATGTCCCAGGGGTCTCAGGAGAGGGACCTGGGCATAGGCTTTCAGTGTGTCTGAACAATGGTGATGCTCCCTGTGACAACGTGTTCTGTCCCAAGTGCAGCTGCAGGTGTTGAGACTTAGCCTGGTGAAACCATTACAGATCTCATACTCACTTGCACTGACTGGATTTTTTAATCAGCTTTGATTGCTTCCTGAGTCCTGGATCCTCCAGGAAATGTAGTGTCATAGGTTGGTGCCATGTGGAGTGATGGAAGCAAACATTGCAATCCAGCTTTTAAGTTCAACCTCAGCATCAGCAGAGACATATCCAAGAGCTGTCTTTATTAACCCTGATCAGTCACAGGTATTACTGTGCAAGAGATACAGTGAGGGGACTTTGGTGTCAGTACAGGCAAACTCTGGAGGGCAATCAGGAACTATTGGGGACACTAATGACCAGCAGGGGGCACTCAAAACCAGCATTCGCACTCAGGACTCACTGACCACGTGTCCAGTCCCAGGAGAAGGGGCAGTGTGATGCATGCCTTCTCTTTCTGAAACTGTGTTTTTCTACCCTCCCATCTCATCCCTGTCATCACCATGCAGTGATTCTGGAGACCTCTCCGTAAAAAAACATAAGAATGCTCTTTCCTTGAGGTCAGACTTGGCACTCTATAATATTTTCTGTGAAGCCTTTGATTCATTGACCTTTGCTCCATAGTGTCAGTGTAACTCAGGTGTACGAACACATAATTTCCCATTTAGTTCTCTTTCACATTAGATGTATCTCCATGTTCTCTCTTCCCATTGACTCCCTACCAGTATTCATTTGGGTAATTGTATATGGTGTTAATAATACATAAATGTTTTCAGAATTTTCCACCCCAGGGGACCTTTGCCGTTTTCCATCAGTTTTCCTTGTTTCAATTAAGGAAATGATTGTCCTGGTGGCCACAGTGACAGGTGAAACTCAGAGGATAAGGGTTCCTATCACTAAGCAGGACAGGGTGGCCTATGCCTGCCATACCAACTATGGAGAACAGAGCTAGGAGGTTCTCATTCCAGGATAGGCCAGTAATAAAAACAATGAAATTTCACAAAAATAATTAAAATTAAAAGGGCAGTGGGGTGGTTCAAGAGGTGCTGTGTCTGCCTACCATACACGACAGCAATAGTTCAACCCAACTCAACGTCAAGTCACAACAAAAAAACAAGTGAAAAAGACATACATAGTGACACATAAAAAGTTGGAATTCCTTGTCTCTGTTGTAGAAAAGGAAATAGATGAGATTTTGTAAATCATTAAGAAAGCAGAGTTTTTAATGAGATAACATAGTTTCTTCAATGTAATCATTGTCAAAAAAGTCACCCAGGACTCTCACAACTGATCTGGGTACTATCCTCTGTGAGACTTTCACACAGAAATAGCTATATAGCGGGGTAACATGCAAATAGGGCCTCCCTCTGCTCATGAAAACCAGCCCAGCCCAGACCTGACCATGCAGCTCTGGCAGAGGAGCTCAGCCCTGGATTCCAGCTGACCCCATTTACTGATCATCACTGGACACAGAACACACACCATGGAGTTGGGGTTCAGCTGGATTTTCCTTGTTGCTATTTTAAAAGGTGATTTATGGAGAACAAGAGATACTGAGTGTGTGAGTGGACATGAGTGAGAGGAAATGTGTGACAGTTTCCTGACCAGGGTTCTCTGTGTTTGCAGGTGTCCAGTGTGAGGTGCAGCTGGTGGAGTCTGGGGAAGGCTTGGTGAAGACTGGCGGGTCCCTGAAACTCTCCTGTGCAGCCTCTGGATTCACCTTCAGTGATTACTGGATGTACTGGTTCCGCCAGGCTCCAGGGAAGGGGCTGGAGTGGGTCTCACGCATTAAAAACAAAGATGATAATTATGGAACAGATTACAGTGCGTCTGTGAAAGACAGATTCACTATTTCCAGAGATGACGCCAAAAGCAATATGTACCTGCAAATGACAAGCCTGAGAGAGGAGGACACGGCCGTGTATTACTGTGCAAGACACACAGTGAGTTGGTTTAATTTTGAGCCCAGATACAAACCTCCCTGCAGGGTGTACTTGGGACCATTAGGGGGCGCTCAGCACACACAGAACACCGGGTCAGCCTTAGAAACAGGTGAGAGGGAGGAAGCAAAGATTCCACTCAGAACCCGTGGTTTCTTACCCATCACAATCCTGCATATAGATATTTAACATAGGGTCTGTCATTAACTAGAAACCACACAATTGTCATTCAGAATTTGAGAGGAACCAACAAGGAACTATCCTTATACTGACGTTTTTATTGGTATTTTATATTGATATTTGAATGCGTTGCTACTCCTCCCCTGCCCTTCACCACATCCTCATCATTTGGAGAGCACCTTGGACTTTGAACTTCTTACCCTCTGTTGTACACCAAGTTTCTTCTTCTGGGCAGATTCTTAAATCTTTATTTAAGATCAGGGACAAGGATGCCAATCCCAGGAACTCTATTCAAGGTACACCATAAATTCTGAGGCAGAGAAAAAGTAAGAGAAAGAAATAATAAAGAAGGAAGAATTAACGTGTCCCCACATGTACATGGCATGATCATATGTACAGAAAGTTCTAGACTCCACCCAAAAATATTATATAATTACTAATCAAATGAAGTAAGCCTGCAGGATACAAAACCAGCTTATACAAATAAGTAGCATTTTTATAGTGAACATCTGAAAAAATAAAACAATGCCACTAGGAGAGAGACATAAATCATAATGGCATATTTAATCAAGGAACAAAAAGATCAGATACAATGAAAACTATAATACATTGAGGTGGCAAATTTAACAAAGAATTTTGTTCTAGAATTAAAAATCATTTTGTACTTACTGTTTCCATCCATTTCTGTTGCTATAACAAAAACTTGAGATAAATTAATATAACAAGATGAAGGGTTTATTTTCGCTCAGTTTCCAAGTTTCCCATCATTTGTTGGATTTTCCTGCTACTCTGGGTCAGTGGAAGTGGAGCACCTGGTACAGACCTGGTGGCTGATGATGTCTGGGCATCGCAGAGGAAAGGGGAGAGAGGGGTCCCACAATCCACTTCAGGGTTATGCTGTTACTGTGCTGACCTCCTTCTTCTAAGCGTAAAGACTGCACTTCCTTATGAGAGACTTGCAGAGTGTGACCAAGACTTTGACCTAAGGAGTAAATTCAAGCCCAGATCTACTGCACAGACCAATAGGATCAAAACTGTAGCTCATTCCCTTTAAAAAATGTGATATATTACAGCGAAACACAAAAAGCAAACCTAAGGTTCACATGGAACCACAGAAGATCCTACAAATGTCCAAAGAAATCTTGAGCAACACTTTGGCCATGTGGTAGTTTAAGAAAAGAGAACACAGACTAGCAGAGAGCATGAATTAGTGTATGAGTCTCAACATTACTTATCATTGTGAAAGTATTTTGGTCAATAATTTAAAAACGATGCACTCATATTAGAATGGATAAAAAAGGAAACATGAAAGTGTGAATGTGTGTGTGAATGAAAATGAACCGTTATTTATTAGTGATGGAGGCAAATTGTACAGCACTTTAGGAAGATATCTGTCAGGTTGTTTTAGAGTAAAAATTAGATTGAACTAAAAAACCAAGGATTGAACATATTTATCAAACAGAATTGGAAATATATGTTTGCACACACACACACACACACACACACACACACACAAATGGTGATCGAATCTTGATTCATTATTTTCCAAGAGTAAAAGCAACAAAGACGTCTTTCAACAAGTAAATGAATCATCAAATTCTGTAGATAATAATGTGGAGGACAAGTAGGGGGTAAAAACTCTAGACATGTTAATTCAGGAAAACATTGTTAGATATTAAATTTATATTTGTAGGTGAAGCAATTCATGCTGACTGCACAGCACTGCAATCCCATCAGTGAAACACGCTATAAAAGACCTATTTATATGGACAGGAAACATAAAAGTGAAGGCCAAGGATAACCTCTCCTGGGAGATTTACCTGTTTGTTCTTAACTGGGCGGTTGTGACTACAGGAGGGGTTGTGGGCTAAGGAGACTGTGCCACACCTCCTAGAAGGTATGGAGTACTTTGGGAACTTGACTTTCAATATTGTAATTTACATCTGACATGAGGTTTGTCCCAGCAAGAGTTTCTTTTCTCGCTATTGTACGACTCTGTGCTCATCTTCCCTAATCCTACATGCAAATACTTTCCAACACTCAGAAGCTTCAGGATTTGGTGTCTTCTGTAGCAGATTATTATTTCATAAGGGAAGGTTGTCTGGACAGTGTACATAGGACCCATCCATTTTCTATGGGATCCAACTGTTGCCCACAAGATACTGGCTTTGATGGACTTTCCCTACAGATTGACAGTATTATTATGTAGTGGAAAGGCAATTCTAGAAACATTCAGGAAGTGGATGCTGTCTGCCTAGTCCATCTAGCAGTACCATCAATTGTGGAGCAGTTGCTTGAACCCTTCTGAACCATAACGAATGTGGAATTTCACAGGTGTCCACCTGCGATGGTTTCAATCTATATGTTCATTTAAAACTTCAACTGTTGAGACTTCACACACAAGTAGAGTACAGTAAGAGTTCCTCCTGGATATGATGAGTCCCTAGAGTTCCATGTCTTACCAAAAAGACAGAGTCAAACTGTGTATTGTATCAGGCTTGCATGGTACAGCTTATCAAACACTGAAGATGTTCAAGTAACTTTGGAGCTGAGTAAAGGGAATAGAATGATAGGGTGTGGAGGATCCTGATAAAAAGCCTTGATTGTTGTGAGTGGAACATTCAGAGGAAAATGTGGAGAAATCAATAATCTTCTTAGCTGTGTGTCACAGTGATGATATTTCCATGATACAAATGTGTGACAATAATGATGCCACAGTAAGGTCAAATGTAGACAACAGACAGGGTTCAGACTCACTCTTGTGTTAAGTCACTCTTGTGAGAACTAACCCATGTTCCACAATATCGGCTTTATTCCTATATAGACCTATACCCAAGGCCTATGGAATTTCCCACATTTACCACCTCCTAAACTACTCCAAATCCAACACCAGCACACTAAGGACAAGACTCCAGCACATGGACCCAAGAAGACATTTCACAGGCAAACATGGCAGGCACTTGCCATGAATGGAGGCTGCAGGACTGGAGTTGGTCAGGGAGTCAATGAATGGGGGTGAATGGGAGTTGATCAAAGTCCAGAACACCTCGGTTCCCACTGTGGGCATCAAGGACTGTGTACTCACTTTGATTTCTTCAAAAATAAATTAATTGTTTTGGGTTTCCCCACTGCAGAGGAACTAATACAGAAACCTTAAAGCAGCAGAAGTCAATATGAGAAGGGGATCAATAACTAGTGAAAAGGTCAGTTAGAGATGAATCTACTTGGTGATGTAACACATTTGTGCATGGAAGCAATGCAAGGATTCTCTCTGTATAGCTATCCTTATCTCAACTAGCAAAAGCACTTTGTCTTTCTTATTATTGCTTATACTTTCTCTTCAACAAAGTTAGAGATAAGGGCAGAACAGATTCTTCCTGGAACTGAGGCTGGGAAAGAAGGAGGGGTGCGAGGATAGGGGGGACAAACAACCCAAACAATGTATGCACATATGAATAAACGAATAAAAAAATAAATAAAACAAAAATAATTTATTGTAATGTATTCTTACAATTTATAAATTAATAAAGGAAAAAATCCTACATGAGCCTAGTCTTGTACAGGTCAGGGTCACACATATTACCGTTCCTACCTCTATGCCTCAAATACTGGAAGGTCTTCGGTTGCAACAACACCCTAGGAGCTGTCACCTCCTGGACAACAGTGTTTTCAGGATGCCCTGAGACCTCCTGGGAGTGTAATGAAGGAGGCATTACTCTGTCAGAAACATGTCATGAGGGTTTGATTGTGTTTCTTTTCATCATATAATTTATTAAAGCCCATGTTGTACCATGAATGTTTCTGTCTACTAATGAAAAGCTGCCAGTATTGGAAGTCATATTTGCAAGTATTGAGAGCATCTTGTTGAGGTGTGCAAAAGCACCTGTTAAACCCACTGAGTTTCCTTGGAGTCATTTGTTCATTCCTCTACTGCATTTTTATTTTCTCCTGAATTTCTTCAGCTCTCCATTTCTGTTTCTTCCAAAAACTTCTCACTTGGCAAGTGCATAGTGTTTATTTACACATTCGTCAATGCAAACATAGCCATAGGTGAAGTTATGACACAATTACAACTACAATATCACTAGGTCACAGGATTCTCTCAGCTTAGTTACCTACGGGACCACTGACACACATGAAAGCATCAGCTTAACCGTGACATCTACGTGATCTGAACAGGATGTTGCCAGAATCATCAAAGATAAAAGGAAATTCTGATAGGGTCTCAGGTGCAGTGCATTGGAAAATGATGGACAGGACATCCTTATAATAAAGTGGCAAAGCACTTGGCTGAAGTGTGCTCAGGCCCCAGTGTATTGTGGATGTCAGGACTTACGAAACTTAGGTGAGGGTGTACGAATCAATGAATATCTAATCAAAATTTTAGAGTTTAGCCTTGCTTTCCTTGATGCTTATAATAAATTGTGAAAAGAGAGAAAAATAATACAAAAGAATTTAAAATTGAAGTGAAGAAAGCTAACAGATATGGAAAATATTGAGCCTGGCCATGTAAAGAATGGAGCAGAAAGCTGTATATGGGAGAATGGAGTGTGGGCAAGGGAACATGTGACAAGGAGATTGGTGTGACAGAAGAAACCAAGTGTTGTTCACTAAGAAAGTGAGAGGATGTTAGAAGGCAATGGAGAAGCTACCACTCCACTTACAGAATCTGCCTGCAAGGAAATAAAAGCATCCAGTGTCATGAAGGCTCAGGAACCTGGGGTGAATTCAGGGATCTCTTTGTAGGGTCCTCTCAAGTTTCTAAGGCATGTGTTATTGTGCTGCCATCCTCAGACTCCCAGATGTGGCCACAGTGGAACCGG